GTGCTATTTATTGGAGGGACACTGTCTGGACCGGACCTAATGCTCACGCACGCGGTCTGGTTATGAGGCTGCGATGCGCTGCATATTGCAGGGGCGTTGCCTGAACTTGATCAACCCTGACTCGCCCTGTCTGGGATCGATACAAGGCTGTGACGCGCTGCATATTGAAAGGGCGTTGTCTGCCTGGTCAGCACTTAGCGGAGCTGAGTGTCTCAGTAGATTTCGGGCATTCAGTGGTTGCTTTCAGGAGTCTGACCTTCCTGATAAACTTCAACAGCTATTCTCACTTTTGCAACATCCAACCACCAAATATTAGTTTGATCGGAGCAATCGATTGGATTTCATCCGGGACCCTTCGTCTATTGCTTTGTTTCTGATTTGATTAAATTTGCTTTAAAGCAACTTCAACACTTTTAGCTTGGAAGTAGTGAGAGACTCTTGAAACTCGCCAAGTCTATCTGGCGTTCTATCGTGATATACTCGATTATGTCAGGATTTCCAAAATGGAAAATGGCCAGTTAATAGTATCTTCATCCCTAATAGTTTTCATCAACAAAAGAGGGGAAGAGTTTTTATAGCGGTACCAAGTGTTTTACCTGTGTTTTACATTTCTTATTATTCTTGATAATAACTAATAACACCCATTCAGCCGTAACACCCTTTGGGGTGCCTAGCTGCCATGTCATCCGAAGGAAGCACGAGGTCTGAGATGCTGCCAGATTGCTCAGGTCTGGACAGCGGCGGTCAAAATGTTGATGTTGGGTTCGAATCATGGGACCTCTAATCAGTAAACCTGCGCGTTATCCCCTGGCCTATCCAGATGATACGTTCCAAGAACCACATGTTCTATTTTCCTTCAGTAGTTTCAGGATTTCAACAATAGTTTGGTTCGTATAGATGTCTTGCTGCATCCAGGAGCAATGCTTAATCAGAAGAAATTGACCAGATAGTACTAGCTGATTTACTTTTTTTCGAGAGCTGTAATGTTAAATCATCGCAGGTTAAATACTTTGCCGGTCTTGAAGAAGTGCAGAATAGACTTCAGCACGTTGTTAGACTGTTAACGAACGTTGAAATATCACTCAGAATACAAACCTCCAAGGGACACCAAGGGAAGAACTACTGAGCACCATTCCAATGAGTGAAAAAATAGCGCTGGAATAAATACCGAGACAGAGGGGTGAATGGAATAGAGGGGAGTGAATGGATACAAGCCGTCAGAGGAGGATGAACTGTTGGAGTATGAATCACGATGCAAACAATTTCGGAGGACATTTTGAACAGCTTTTCTGGCCTACAAGCCAATCACTTAACAAGAAAGTTGGATTTCTACTGTACGGTAAACTACCAACCGAAGAGTCGCAGATTCGAATTACCTTAGAAATTCCTGAGATGTGCACTGCTGATGATTGGGATGAAAGATCCATACAATCCCTTCTCAGCTATTCGGTATAGTTTGACTTCCTATGCAGACCGTGGCTTAGACAACACGAGTACTTTAACTGACATGTTTTCGCATGCTATGAAGTGAGTCCCGTGGTCGATCACCAGGCTTGATATCTGTATGTAGTGGAGCTGGGTGTCAGAGGAGTATTTCCCTTTTCAACGTCCCAATTTAAGTTTGATTTTTAACGCGGAAGGAGATTAATCGGGGTTGCTCACATTTCCAGAATGAGGATGAAATGGTTTGGATAATACAATGCGTTCCAATATCATTCAGATTAGGTATACTGATAGCAGTCTGTCGTCTACCGTATTCCCCTAGGTTAACAACGGCTTACAAGTTCGGTTCACCTTGAAATGATTGTGGTTTACCAAACTTCCACAGGTGACTGGCGAATCCGGCGCTGATGTCAGAGATTCATATAGTTCAGATCATTTATCAGGCAGTGAAAATGATTCCTCGTTGTCATCATCGACTGCATACTAGTGTTCAACCCGATGCCTAGTTGCCGTACGATCAGAATTTTTTCAAAACCCCACTGTGGAGACAAGAATAAAGGGAGAGAAAGGGATTTAGTGCCAGCCAACTGTAAGCACTCCGAGATGTCTACACCTCTAGGCACTCAGACAATTCTGATAAGACTGATAAAAAGAATGCCCATGAGATCGACTAACAACCGCATTAGAAGACTGAAAAGTATTCCATTCCGTCAAAAGAGGGGTGATATGGTCTCATATGGATTACTACTATTGTTGGAAGAATGAGTGAAAAACCACAGGGGAATTCTCCAAGTGAGCTAAAATCGCAAAAACTCTGCTAACGAACAAGTACTACTGCAGCAATCATATCACTTTGTTGTCAGCAATGCACCATTATCATCCAGTGTTAGTGAACGGTACAAACAAAACCCTACATGACCTCAGTCAGTAGATTGCTACAGATGAAGTGCTTAGAAAAACTGCAGCAAAATGATGAGCACAATTTGCCACTCTTGCAGGAATTCGGTTTATGGAAGTTACTGCTTGAAGGAGGCCCCTAAAATTATGATACCTATGTTTAGGTCATACTTTGATACCCTGCTATATCTGCTGATTCGCCAGTCTGTTGTATCTGGCTCCTGACTCGCTCCAGTACCCAGTGCCGGAAAAAAATTCACAGAAGGGAACACAAGAGCTATATTCCGAACAAGCAGGTGCGAGAGCGTGAGTGCGTGCGAGTGCTATTTATTGGAGGGACACTGTCTGGACCTGGTCCAATGCTCACGCACGCGGTCTGGCTTTGTTATGAGGCTGCGATGCGCTGCATATTGCAGGGGCGTTGCCTGAACTTGATCAACCCTGACTCGCCCTGTCTGGGATCGATACAAGGCTGTGACGCGCTGCATATTGAAAGGGCGTTGTCTGCCTGGTCAGCACTTAGCGGAGCTGAGTGTCTCAGTAGATTTCGGGCATTCAGTGGTTGCTTTCAGGAGTCTGACCTTCCTGATAAACTTCAACAGCTATTCTCACTTTTGCAACATCCAACCACCAAATATTAGTTTGATCGGAGCAATCGATTGGATTTCATCCGGGACCCTTCGTCTATTGCTTTGTTTCTGATTTGATTAAATTTGCTTTAAAGCAACTTCAACACTTTTAGCTTGGAAGTAGTGAGAGACTCTTGAAACTCGCCAAGTCTATCTGGCGTTCTATCGTGATATACTCGATTATGTCAGGATTTCCAAATGGAAAATGGCCGAGTTAATAGTATCTTCATCCCTAATAGTTTTCATCAACAAAAGAGGGGAAGAGTTTTTATAGCGGTACCAAGTGTTTTACTTGTGTTTTACATTTCTTATTATTCTTGATAATAACTAATAACACCCATTCAGCCGTAACACCCTTTGGGGTGCCTAGCTGCCATGTCATCCGAAGGAAGCACGAGGTCTGAGATGCTGCCAGATTGCTCAGGTCTGGACAGCGGCGGTCAAAATGTTGATGTTGGGTTCGAATCATGGGACCTCTAATCAGTAAACCTGCGCGTTATCCCCTGGCCTATCCAGATGATACGTTCCAAGAACCACATGTTCTATTTTCCTTCAGTAGTTTCAGGATTTCAACAATAGTTTGGTTCGTATAGATGTCTTGCTGCATCCAGGAGCAATGCTTAATCAGAAGAAATTGACCAGATAGTACTAGCTGATTTACTTTTTTTCGAGAGCTGTAATGTTAAATCATCGCAGGTTAAATACTTTGCCGGTCTTGAAGAAGTGCAGAATAGACTTCAGCACGTTGTTAGACTGTTAACGAACGTTGAAATATCACTCAGAATACAAACCTCCAAGGGACACCAAGGGAAGAACTACTGAGCACCATTCCAATGAGTGAAAAAATAGCGCTGGAATAAATACCGAGACAGAGGGGTGAATGGAATAGAGGGGAGTGAATGGATACAAGCCGTCAGAGGAGGATGAACTGTTGGAGTATGAATCACGATGCAAACAATTTCGGAGGACATTTTGAACAGCTTTTCTGGCCTACAAGCCAATCACTTAACAAGAAAGTTGGATTTCTACTGTACGGTAAACTACCAACCGAAGAGTCGCAGATTCGAATTACCTTAGAAATTCCTGAGATGTGCACTGCTGATGATTGGGATGAAAGATCCATACAATCCCTTCTCAGCTATTCGGTATAGTTTGACTTCCTATGCAGACCGTGGCTTAGACAACACGAGTACTTTAACTGACATGTTTTCGCATGCTATGAAGTGAGTCCCGTGGTCGATCACCAGGCTTGATATCTGTATGTAGTGGAGCTGGGTGTCAGAGGAGTATTTCCCTTTTCAACGTCCCAATTTAAGTTTGATTTTTAACGCGGAAGGAGATTAATCGGGGTTGCTCACATTTCCAGAATGAGGATGAAATGGTTTGGATAATACAATGCGTTCCAATATCATTCAGATTAGGTATACTGATAGCAGTCTGTCGTCTGCCGTATTCCCCTAGGTTAACAACGGCTTACAAGTTCGGTTCACCTTGAAATGATTGTGGTTTACCAAACTTCCACAGGTGACTGGCGAATCCGGCGCTGATGTCAGAGATTCATATAGTTCAGATCATTTATCAGGCAGTGAAAATGATTCCTCGTTGTCATCATCGACTGCATACTAGTGTTCAACCCGATGCCTAGTTGCCGTACGATCAGAATTTTTTCAAAACCCCACTGTGGAGACAAGAATAAAGGGAGAGAAAGGGATTTAGTGCCAGCCAACTGTAAGCACTCCGAGATGTCTACACCTCTAGGCACTCAGACAATTCTGATAAGACTGATAAAAAGAATGCCCCTGAGATCGACTAACAACCGCATTAGAAGACTGAAAAGTATTCCATTCCGTCAAAAGAGGGGTGATATGGTCTCATATGGATTACCAAGACAAGATGCGCTTCACTGGAACACCTATCCTGCCACTAGGTTTCATTAATGTATAAAATACGTTAACCTTTGGTATTTGGTGATATATGTGACAGCTTCAGCTCGTTATATCTTGGCATTCTCTTCAAAACACTGCCTTCCAGACCAAACTTAAGGAGTTTTACCTGGAACAATTGTTCTTCCGAAGCCGGCTGCCCAAATTCAGTGAACAGATGGAATCCATCAAACTGGGCGACGGTCACAGTATTCCAACTGTGGGATTTGGTACCTGGAGTGTTTGTGAGCAAACACTCTGTTTTTCATTAACTTCATTCTCTTTAGATCACAGAGGCTGCAGCAGAGGCTGCGGTCCGGGAAGCCGTTGATGTGGGTTACAGGCACTTTGACTGTGCTTATTTTTATCAAAACGAAAAGGCAGTGGGTCGGGCACTGCATTCCGCTCTTCAGAATGGCAAAATCCGAAGGGAGTCCATATTCGTGACGTCTAAGGTATTTCCCTGAACCCAACGATCATTTTATCCATTACCCGTAGCTCTGGCACACCCATCATCGACCGGAACTCGTTACTGGCGCTTGCCGTCTCAGTTTGCGAGATCTTCAGCTCGACTACCTTGATTTGTATCTTGTACATGGACCCGTATCACTTATGGTATGTTCACCTCGTGTAATCTATCATGGGAAATCTCAAAAGCCAGGAGATGAACTTATGCCCATGGGTCCTGGTGGTTTGGCCCTGTATGATTATGTTGAACTGGAAGTGACCTGGAAAGTAAGTCTCTCAGGTTCCTATTACTATTCGCAATGTTGTTGCAAGGAGATCCGCGTAATTTGGCACAAATCTTATCATGCTAGCTACTATTCTCAATACTTTTGATTTGTGAGGAAACGGTGAACTCTGGAGAACGGGAACTTTCGCCCCCAAGGGGGAGGTCCATTAGAATTTACCACTGAGTCGATTGGCACAATACCAAGCTGTACAGAAAAAGAGCCCGAAAAGTTTAGAAATTACTAGCCACACTGCTCTCCGGAAAGCCAAGTCCTGACTGGCCTAAAAAGAGGCCAGCATCAAATTTTTTCTGGGATGAGCTGTCTTCGATGGTATTTAGTGGAAGGTGTACCAAGTCATCGCACAGCTATGACAATCAGAGTGGGCTTCCAGAAACGGATTTTCAAACAAAACGAGCCGTAGTCTTCGACTTCACTTGTTTCCGGATATAAATATAGTACGACTTATACAAAGTCACCCTGGTTTTGGACACCATGTTTCTGTTGACCGAATAGCGTTTCCAACGTCATTAGCTTTTTCTGCTTGTTTCTACCTCGGTTCTTAAAGTACCGTCATAGGAACCTCCATTCGCTTACACCGCACTGTCACGGGGAAAGGTGATGACTTGCCAAATTCAAAACGAAAGCAGATGCAATCAAACTAAGTGCCGTGGGTTTTTTTGTCCTCGTGATTGCAACCCACATGATTATTCTTATATATGTAACTGGAGACCTCAACGGCACATCGTCCAGCTGACTGTGTTAACCTTGCTGTCACCTAGCCGAACTAGCTAACTAGATTCCGTATGTTTTCATACACTGAGTCTATGTGGAATGGAGTTTAAGCATACCGGCTCAGTCCAGCCAATGGTATGACGCTCCGGTATGATGCTCAGATTTGTCCATACCATTGTTCTTTGGGTTGTAAGCAGCTGGTCATTGTTATTTTATCCAAAAAACGTAAGACGCTTTCATTATAGGTCCACATTCCGCCCCTTTCCCCACTCATTTTTGAGTGGCATTTAGGGAGCTGTTCTATCACTAATGCTTTGGGGTCGATGATGAGTCTGCCTGCACTAGTGTTATCTCTAACTGCTGTTCCCACCTGGTACCAGAAAAGAACTCACCGACAAGGGTACACAACAGCTTTATTCCAAACAAGCGAGTGCAAAAGTTACAACGGCCCGCGTTATTTAAAGGGGACTTTCTGACATTGATCCAGGTTGTCTGGTTGGTGTTTAGTGAACACCCATCAACATCGATCGTGCTTCTATGAAATACCTGAACGCTGATCACGTTCGGTCATGTTTCTTTGGCGTGCATGAACATTCATCGGCTTTTGCTGAATAGATTGAATGATTGACTGACCTGTATGGTTGCCGGCTTTTCTATTAAGATTTTGGTGGGGTTTTAGGGTCTCAGTAGATTTCGGGCATCCTGGGGTTACTTTCAGGAATCTGACCTTCCTGATAACTAGTATTCAGGGTATCGTTCAGCAGATTAGACATTTTGGACCAACCAACCAAAGCATGATCACTCGTGTTGAAAAACTCTCGTTCATACTGTTCTAAAGGATGTTTCAGACACATGTTTCAGTCATAATCGAAAGAAGTTATCCGTACACATTGGTTCTAGTGATTAACTGGTCTAGCTTCTCCCAACTCCAAACCTGAATATGTGTCCTATATAGTGATTCTATACAGCATACCTAATTTCATCGTTCCAAGTAATTCGACAAGGTTAGTGTATCCCAACAGCATTCCGTGCTCTGTGGAGTTGTGTTACGCGAAAATCGCAAACTCACAGGGCCCACCACGTAGTCAGTTGTTATTCTAACCTATTGTTCGACCGGTGGTCCATCCAGGCCTACTATTTTAGGGCACGATTTATAATCCTTTTTGCAAGATCAACAACTCCACCCTGTAAGTCGGTCGAACGTTTACACTCCATAGTATTTTAATCAGCGGTTTGGCTTTCGGTAAGCGATCAAACAAAGTTTGTTCACGGCACTTCAGCTATCAGATAAGGCAAGCGGTATAATCTCTCTCCACTGGATGGGTTTCCCCTCTCCAAAAAGCTACTTTCCCGTGGTCGAATTTGACTGGCGAGAATTACTTGAAGGAACTGTTTGTCGGTTCTGTTATTTTCTCGCCGCCAGGCCATGGAAGAGCTTGTGTCACTGGGATTGGTCAAGTCGATTGGCATCTCTAACTTTACCCAGCCGCAAATCGATAGGATCTATCGTTGTGCGCGCATCAAACCAGTCGTGCTTCAAATTGAAAGTCATCTGGGGTTCCTTAATCAAGATTTGATCAACCACGCGACGGCGATGGGCTTGCATGTGACAGCATACGCGCCTTTGGGAGCTCCAGGAACACGCAGGTAATTAGATGTATTGACTTCAGTTTTCATTTAGCCCAGAATATTATCGCATTAATAGAGGAACAACTTCCTAGTGAACCGGCTCTGCACGCAAGATTCATCTGTGTAGTAACTTCATTGAGTTGAACGATAAACACCGTTGACCTTGACTCAGAAGTCAACGTAAACAATCGTCTAAAATCGACAGCGAGACTCTAAACCATTCTGTCCAGAATATGTACCGCTTTGTGGTGATAGGTCTCGATGATAAGAGACCGATGAATCATTGTGCCACTCTATTCCGTTCTAAAGCTTCTCGTGTCTAGCGGAATTCAAACCTATCGTGTGCACCTGACATGATCGAATGCGAATTACTGAAAATAAGGTTCGCATGTGGAAACCTCATCAACAGTTTGGGTCATGACATAGAAACGGTAGTTATTGTCCAGTTCACTGAGTGCGGAGTCGTTCAGCGTGAAACACGGACAGAGCGGCTGTAAGCAGTCGGGAACAAAAACCGAAAACTAATTTGCATAGAGTCCGAGAAGCTCAGTGTTTTCAAGTTTATTTCTGAGGTTTCCTGATCGTCATCGGAATGCTTGACGTCAGTGAAAGAACACACTCCATTTGTTACACCCGACATCGCTGTTGTTCTCTTGATCCAACTTCAACGGGAGATTGTCTCCCAAAGTACTTCAAGTTGTCTGCTTATTTGATTCATTGGCCAAGTGGATCTTGTTTACTCTGACATTGAGGTTCTTTTGTGCTACATTGGCGCTAAAACTCATCACCTAAGGCGTTTCTTAACTGGAAAATTTATCTAGGACAAGGAAGCAGGGAAGTCGGAGCCGAAAGACGCTTGCTCCTTGAAACAACTGTACTGCAATTGATTCGCTCTACAGGAAACAAATATGGACCATTTGTCGTAGGTGCGGAAGAGGACTTTCCCATAGTACTCGCCCAATGGGACTACGAGCACATTTTAAGAAAACAAAATAGTCTTTTTGACTACGTCAGTCATACATCGGGATGGGATTACAAATAACAAACGATTTACAACACCAAATGATTCCTAGAATGTCAGACAAGCATCGGACTAAATGTACTTTTCTGGCTTATCAGCTGCGCAACGGGTCTCCTAATAATCGGTCGTATGACAGGTAGTAAGTCCTAAGTTTGTTGTACCTCACCGATTTCGCTTCGTATCTAATGACTGTTCGTCAACATAGCTAACACGACACAGTTGAATTATAAAGCCATTTCCTGTGAATGTCCCATTCTTCAGAGCACAACGCGGGTTTCGCACAGTGTGTGTGTGTTTCTGGTTCACAAAATCTGTTGACGAGTCAGAATGACCGTTGCTTACTTCCGTACGTCATACCAAGACAGACATTGCAGTACTGAGTTCATAGACAAATTAGCCGTGTTCACATGCACAATTTCACCATACGTAGGTCATCATTTCTGTCGGGCATTGTATATATATACCTGCAATAACGTCCCCGTGTCTCACAATTCGCCTAATAATCGTTTAGGTATGCGCCTGCAACCAGTGCGTCATCGTTACTTGGTAGGGCTTAGAACTATCCCTGGTAATGAATGACTAAGCCTCTCCATCGTCCCACTTTTTGTGAATAAGTCTGTCAGATAGAACTACTACAAAGTGTCCACGCTTAATATTTGATGAGGTTAACACTTTAATTCGCCCACATATTCGTTTTGACCATCGAAAAATGACAATACGACCGACGATGCTAGGCTAAAGTGACTCTACAGCCTACTTGGAGCAAGCTTTACTGAAAATCTACTATTCACGCGACATACGCTTATATACCATATACTTGTGTGTGATTACCAGACTAATACTGTTTTCATCAACGTCCTGCGGTGGCCAATGTTTTAGCGAACACTGGTCATCATCACAGGGGTCGGTAACATCAGTATAGATACTGGTGCCTCACTGCCGTATAACTGTTCTGAATGCCCTAAAATGGAAAGAACAGAAGAGTGAACGAGCCACTATCTCATCGCAAGCCTCCAAGCACTCATTCAGACCATGTGATAAGAAACCAACAACACAGAAGCCGCTGACATAGATCAACTACTAGTTCTTGCAATGTTTCCAGCCAAGCGCAGGAGGGGTCACAGGGACCCTATCCAGAAAGCCTGACCGCACTAATAACACCCAAGAGAGATCGGAGCATACTTTCTTAGCGTAACGTCAGTCTAACTTGTAAGTGAGTGTGTTTCGCCTCCGTTCATTTTCATCGTCCTCTATATCGATTTTACTCTTGTTGAAGTCTCAACACTGACCAATCGTCTTCTGTTCTAGAAGTGAAGCGAGCTATGCACTTTTTGGATGGTACCGAGTAATACACATGCGTCGTACGCTATTCGTTGGTTGTAGATCGATTGCTGTCGATTGCGTTGCGTGCGCTCGCATCGTTAGAGACCAAACGATAAGCTAAATATCTATCTATGTTGCTTTTAACTTCATGCGTGTTTATTAGCATAGGGCGACTCCACAGCTTGTTGAGCAGTACTGGTAACGTATTTGCTCTTATTACTAAAAAGAGAAAGCGAAACAATCCATCTTCACCAAAAGAACCTCTAAAGGCCCTAACCTTAGCTATGTCGGGTATGTAGGTATTCCGGGAAAGTTTTGTAACTCCATATAGTGTTCGGCTCACTTTGCTTACATTACAGGACAGCAGCTGTTCATATTGGTCCGGCCAATTGCATTTGTGTGTCGTATGGCGCACATACAAGGAGGCTATACAAGGAGTGGTAAAACTATAAATCTATCCCTGCTTATGTGAAAGAAACATTTGCGTACAATTTGGGTTAAGTTTGTTTGTAAGTTTGTAAGTTTGATGCAAACTCGGGTAGTTCACCAACCTTGTGAAGGATGAAACCGGTGGTGGGCTGTCGAAGAATTTCCAGCGGCCTTGTAAATAGTGGATCATCTTGAGAAAAATTGGTTACTTCCTTTAAACAAGACCTCAGAGAATTTGGAGATGTAGCAATAGTCCTCTTTCCCCAAAGTTCATTGAGTGGTTCCTTGTTTTTTAGTCAGTATTTAATCCCCCAACCCAAAGCCTATGACTTATGGTTCACATGTATCGGTCACTCATGAAACAATATTCATCGGTTTGATAGTAACAACAGCTATTATGGCATGCGCATATGTAAGTCTAAACCAAACCCTTTGTGATGAAACCATTTTGTTAACATCTCACCTAGCGCCATGGATAATCTTTTTGACTTACCTGTCGTGAAGGAAATGAGTGCAAAGTATGGAAAGACGCCAGCACAAATTCTCCTTCGGCATTGCATTCAGCGTGGTCTAAGTGTGATACCAAAGACTGTTACAGCGGCCCGAATGCGAGAAAACTTGGAGGTGAGTCAGAACTTGTTCTACTTGCAAGTAGAGCTGTTCGCATCCAATTGCTTGGTATCGCCATTTTTGTTCCTTTTGATCAGCCATGATACGTACATCCACGCGCCCGATCAGCATAGCTTGGTTTGGCTATACGACGCACTTCGCTGTCCCTCCCTTCACCGCCAGAGAGGGCATTCTTCTACGGGAGCAACAAGTGAGCCTCCCTAAGAGTGAAACCACCTTTGCGGAAAGGCTGGAATGCCCCGTATATTCAGAGAATCATTTCTGCGTTGAAATTGCTGCGTAACCAGCATTTGGAGCTTCCATTGTAGCTAGCTAGATTACAGTTTGGCGCATATAAGCGGGTACTTGATGATTCGTATTACATATTCAATCCTGACGGATAAACTACCCGAAAGGTTCCAAGGTGTGTCAATAAAGGAACCTGATATACCTAGGTCATGGAGCACTGCATTCACTGATGCGCGAAAAAACGTTAGGTTATTCCTGAATGTGAACTTTGTGGGCCGGTATACCCGTACTATCGGCTTGTACTAACTTGAAGAGACTAGCTCCGTTTTCAATAAATCAATAGCATTCTAGGCTACTTCCTAGTTTAACCTGAAAACCAATGTGATTCGATCGGCGCGTCCTCCGTTTCAAAATAATGTGGAATCCAAATATGTCTCGCTATTCAAAACGTTACCTTGACTATCACTCATTTGCATATCAATTTGATTTTAAAGGGGTGACTCAATTCAATCCCAGTCCGGTAGCTCGTCTTGATGTCCGATGGTTGTTGCCATGATCCTGTTTGAAGATATCATTCTTCGAACCTCTAACTTTCTTCATAACCCTCCACAGTTAACCCTGACTCGCCTCCATGTAAGCACTATTGCTTCTTGTTCTTGCCTGCTTAAAACCAAGAAAATAAAACCTACGCGTTTGCAACTGCTCAGAATAAGCCTTCCTCTCCACTAGCAGTTCCTCTTCAAATGATTGCATCTACTCGCTGTCGCACGTGCAACCTTGTCATTGTCCTGGTGTCCGTGACAACTATTCTGGTAATGACCCATCCAGATATCATCTTACCCTACTCAGCCACATACTAGAATGGGAGCAGCCTGACTGAACAAACCATATTGAATGGAGGGGACTAATTACTCCTCAATGGTCGTTTTTAACAATCTGTCCAATTGGGTGTGCAAGAACGACAAGGAGACATTGCCCATTCAGGGAATGGACAGCTGTTTCTTCCTTCTTTGGTTCTCTCAATGAGGACATTGGTATCGTCGTACATAAACAACCACGGCTTTGAGCACAGATATTGATTGATTTCCGTAGACAGCATGGTGGGTATTTTGTCATCGGACCAAGATTGATCTATCGCGTGACGCACAGGCTTCAGGCGCACGCACGCGCTCTTATAAGGGTCAAGAGAAAGGCTTCCAAAGTTTCAGGGCAACTAATACAACAGTAATTCCGTTCCATGATTCGATCCCCAGGCCAAGTTTGTGTCCTTTGAAAGAGCATCGCTTTGCCGAGTTGGTTACACCAAGTCGTTTCAAAAGTTATTTAACACAAACGGGTGTGCATTTACTAAGGACACAGCTGAAGAAGCCGGTAGCTTTCGCTGACTGGTACTCGAGACACTTACTAACCCCAACTTAGTCTTTCGTGACTTCACCTTTACGCTATGTGGTTATTACGAAACTGTGATGCACTCACTCTTTTTTAGGTTTTCGACTTTCAGTTACTGCCTGAAGAAATGTCTAAGATGAGCGCCGCCAGTCCCAACATCCGACGTTTTGTTGGTGCACCGTAAGTACTCCGTTGTTGTAATTCCTAGCTACTCTTGTTTCAGGTTGAAGGGACACCCAGAATACCCATACAGATAGACAACAGACTTGCACCCAAGTATGACACCGGTCACGACCCATTAATTACATGCTTTTTATTCACTTATTACAAATATACTCAATGGACACCTGATGTTTTTCGCTGATTCGCCTATAAATGTAGGAAAAGCGCATAGTTGGGGAACTAAGAATCACAACCACTTCATTGCGGCAAACCACGGAGATAATAAATCCATTGTATTCCTTCTCCCGGCTCTGGTTTTGAAATCCGTGTCGAAACGGCAGATTCGTTTTCTTGACCAGGTTCCGTTCGGCCAGGGTCCGATTCTACTGGTTCTGTGCCAATACAAGTGATAACAAGTTTTCCAGTGACAGGTGCACTAATCGTTGCGTCGCTATTGAGACAAACGGGTATTTGATAGTCTTCTTTTGGCCGCAACACTTCACTTTCTTTGGTCAGACGAAACGCGATGTTGTCAACCTGGAAAATTCAGGAATACTTTGCGGTAAGCTAGGATATTCTGCTCTAATTTAATGTTTATTAGACCTCACACTCAGCGTCTGTTGATGTGACTGGCGGAAATCACTCAATGTAGAGGAGCCGGATGCTTCAGAAAGTTCCATAATCCATTCTTGCCAGTAAGTAAAATGTAGTTTAATTCAGAATTCACGTTGGTTCTTTACTTTCGAAAGAGAAACGGCCGTTATGGTGGCTTATGAACTTTTCAGAAGTGAGTACCAATCTCATGGTGGGTCACACGAGAAACTTCACGGGGTCGATCAAAACGGGGACCATAGAATAGTGTTTGCTGCGATGGGTCTTTACTCTACCATTTTTGGGCACCTTTTCTATGACGGGATATGTGAAGCATGTCGTAACATATATACGAGGCATCGTCATTACTATGAAACGCAGTACGCGCGCGTTGATTCATGCGTCACCATTGTGAGCCTGGTAATGCGAACCTAGAAGATCATCTTCAGAATTAGTCAGTCGTTACTGCGAGTCGGATCCAGTCGAGTCAAGTATAGCTTTGTGCACCTTGACAGGTGAACATTTAGCACACAAATTCGTAAAAGTTGCATAAAGTGAGCATATAATCGGAAAATTAGTAGAAGTGCAGTTCGAAAGAAGTGGCTTGAGGGGGAAGGCGCGATAAAAATGCACTGCACAGTGTGAATCAGGGTTGATAGGACTTAGGGACTCGAAGGCAATTGTCGAAAGTTTGCATTTAGATGTCGTGCAGGAGTTTAAATGGAAATGATAAGAAGATTTTCAAATAATATTTCTTGGGCGAATTTCTAAGAGTTAAGGTGTTTGATGGCTATAAAGCTGATTAACACTTTGTGATTTTATAACACTTAGAGAAGCATGTGACCAACATGACTTGTGGTTTATTTGAGTCGTTGTATTCATTGACCTGAATGTGAGGTAGTATTATTTTTCTCCAAAGGGCCGGGGAGCGTGACTAGAGGAAGTCCAGCGGTGTATAGTAACAACTTTATGATTATTTAGCAACCATCGACGTAGTTTGCAATGCACCAGTTTTGGAAAACCGTTGACCCAGTACAATTCAGTCAGAGTCCAGCTAGGAAGTGGCAGCAGTCTCGCCACGGGTTGTTTACGTGCCATATCCCTTAAGGTTTCCAACCACGCACAAGGGTAGAATCAACTGGAGTCCGTCCTGAGATGCGAGATTGTCACACAGTGTGCTGCCATGTCATTGACTTTTCCCCACCACCCTTTCCTAAAATGGGTTGGGGGAAGAAAACTGTTTTCTTTGCTGGCTAGCGGTCGGAGACATGCATGATAAATGCCCCTCAATCTGATAAGCTCTTTCTGCTGCTCAGGTGAATCCGATTCACCAACAAGCACTCGCCTATGGAGCGTTTTACCACGCACACGCTGCAGTTTCTTAGGGCTTGCCTTACATGGTCTTCAGGTGAGAGGGTTCCAAGCTCACATTCATAGACTAGGACGGCGGTCACAATCGTTTTGTAGACACTGGTGGAATTAGCTTCTGATGCCAAAGTTGACTCAGTTTGGCAAACATTGCTCTTGCTGTGGTGATGAGTGCGCTGGCGTCACTGTCACAGCGCAGTCACACAGTTGCCAAGGTAAGTGTACCTATGGACATGGGGGTGGAAAATCCTGAATCAAGACTCCACACTTTAAGGGCGCGAACGTCATCCCCATTCAGGGGATCATTTCTAATACTCTATTTAGAGTAGTTTGTGTGGACGCATGATCATCCGCATAATCTAGGTCTAACGGTCATTCTCCAGGTACCATTTTAACACCTAGATGCACGGTCCCTTGAAGCGTAAACTTCATGATTGTCTCAATGACAAGGAGAGGGGACAACCCTGGCGAACCCCTATTTTAAGGGAAATTTTTCGATGGGTTATTGTAAGGCATAATGCGGCCAGAAGTATGCGGATAAATAATACCAAGAATATTTTCAAACATCGAGGACATCGTCCAAGTATGTGTTGATTCAATCTATCCAAGAATTTGAAATCAAGAGAAGCCGTCGACCTAAGGCGTTTGACGCTACTCATGCGCTTGGGGTAGTGTGGAGCACAAATTGTCATAAACATACGCCTAGCTGTCTCCCAGTCCCATGCTTCATTTCCCCAGTTTTTATTCACTAGTTAACAGCTTACTGCTTGCTGGAATCGCCAATCATGTCAGGAATGATGGCCATTATTGGCATCATTTTACCGATCATGCACTGCATTCAACTCTGGAGCTGACAGAACAGCGGTTATCTCACACGAGATAGATGGCAGAACCAGTGATTCAACCTCGGGTCTCGAATTTGAAAATAAACTCAAAAGCCTGACATTCTTTATATTATCTTTTACAGGTGTTTTGTGGAAACGACATATTCGCTCTCATTGTGGTGGTGTTTCCATTGAGCCCAAGCTTGATTTTCCATTTTCTGTGTCAGGCACCCCCATGTTCGCACCGACTCACGACGTTCACTCTGTCCACATTGTGATTCCCCCATTCATACGCACCCAATCACATTGCTGCTCGGTGACGTCGCCTCCGACCTTGCAAAGTGACCTTGACTGTCTGATTTCTCAGCCTTTCATTTGATCCTTCGCTGCCTGTGTAATCTCCCATGCTCACCGCGCCCGTACGCAACGAATGATCACTGTTTCATGATTTTCTTGTCGTCGTACACTTCGTGTGCGTAAATCGGGATAATCCAGTGCCTCCAACACACCTAGTCCACCAGATACTTCTACCAGAACGAGTTAGGAATAAGAACCTCCATCGTCAATAACATTGGCAGCACCAGTGCTTCACTGCCATGTAACCATCTTAATTTATCTGATTAAAGTAGTTCACTGAAAAGAGAAATAGATGAGATGTGCTAGTCTACAACAAACACTTGAGCCGTGTCCACCTTCAACCTTTAGCGAGGTTGCTGGCATCGGTTAACCTGTGTTTCTTTCACTGTCTCTAGTCAAGGACGGGGAGGGTCAGGTTGGCTCCAGTCTGGAAGGTGCACAGTACCCTAACTCGTAACATTAATCCCCTTCTGCCAGATGATGGCTTGCCAACCACTGGGTATTCGCCACACCGAAGGGAGGTTTTTTTAAGCATCAGTATTTGTCGGTAATTGTCTGTCTCGAATAGTTAGCTAGCCTATGGTTCCAAATCACCATCCGAAAGCAGTGTTTTCGGTACGGTTTTAGGGCAAACATCAGTCCAGAAGGTATGTGATTGTGTGATAAACTACTCTAAATAGGTAGTACATTTGGCTACCACTTACCTGAAACGAGAACAGCATAGATGCATCAAACACATTGCGAAAGTTTACATGAACAGTTTCTTTCCTCCTGAGCGACAACGGTCCTTGAGGTTGTGGCGCTTTCGCAATTCCACACAATGGGAAAATGTACTCGCCTGCATGTGGACTAGACAACTTCAATGTTCCTGAACTATTCCCGATTGTTGTCGGTTCAAAGGTGACATCAGCTGTAACTTCCACACCTGCTGCTCCGGTCACCGAGTTGTCACAATGAAACACCTTGTTATCGAGCTAGGTAAATGAATGAGAGTTGAAAATCATGCAAGTAGGTCAGCAGATAAGAAAGCGCAATTTACTATCGTTATGAAGCTACCGTAAGTATTACGGAAAAGGTCCCAATTAGTGAGGGTGCTGACAAAACAGATTCGACATAGTTACACGCCTTTGTCTAGACGTGTCGTCAAATCTCACCGATCAAAACCAGTGGCGCATATATTGCCATAAGACGTCAGAGAATAGCCGATAGACATTGACAAACAAGGTTCAATGGACTAGCAATTTTTATCAAGCGTGCCCAACTGCATTTGCCAATACTTTATTCCATAAATGCTGCGTAACTGTTTGAGAAACCTAGCTGTGAGGTCCTTAACATTATTGGTTGTTGATCAGGTGGCTGTCGATCTGTTCGCCGAGCTTGGCAATTGGCTTGCAAACGTTTCGTCACCATACGAGGAGACATCATCAGTACGCAGTTGGGTGGGCACTTCTTCCTTGCCTGCGTGCGTTTATATAGCAGTCGAAGGCTATCTGTTATCTTCTGACGTGAGTGGCTACTTGAAGTGCAACGAATTTAGTGAATCTATTGTTCCGTTTGTGATCTTCATTGCGTTGTGGTCTGTGTTCCTTTGTGTTGATTGGTTAACCCAACGCCTGCTAATTTCAGTAGCTTGTTTTCTCTGGCCTTGATTCGCATTGCGTTATGTTCTGAAGTTCTCGAGTTTGATCGGTTGCTTGCAACCGCCCTATTTCCTCCACCGTGGTGGTTAGTGTCCCTGCGTCTGCCAGTTGATTTTTTGCTTTGGTTGGGCACCTCCTCCAATGCAGTTGATGTGTCCGTTTGAATGATGATTTCCTACTTCTCCTATGAGTTCCTCGTTTGGTCACTTTTGCAGCTCTAAGCTCTGTGGTTCTGGCGTTCTCTCGCTCTTAGTGACTGGTAAATGGGATCATTTTTGATGTGTTTATTGATGGCTTCTTCGGTGGAGTACCACGCTCTCATAAATTCGCGTTCTCTTTTTGTTCTTGCTTGAGCTAGTATGCGAACGCCGCTCCAGTCGAACTCGTGTCATTCCTGATCTTTGTGCGCGTGATCTCTCTGTGTGTGTCCTTAACACTGTATCTTCAAAGCACTTAATAGTCTCCGCCCTGCCGGTGGATTCCTACTTCCTAAATATGGTAAAGGTCCGGATATCTGTCATCATAGACAGGGTGGGAGTATGATGTAAAAATGACAAACTCCTTGGCTGATGGACGTAAATTCAGACAAGACACAACAAATGAGAACGGCTGACGGGTCGTAAGGATGACCTAGGTAGCTTCGCAGACATACCTGCAAGAGTAGACGTTCATGGATCTGGTCAACACTGGTAGCTTACCCTTGTTATTCAGCGGAATTATTGAACAGTTTTTTAAAAAAACTTCACATATCAGTGTTTGACAGTTGACACTTGAACGGTAGGGTGAAAAGCAATGTATTTTCCTCAAATACACCCATTTATATCTCAATTTGGTTTTAATGGGAGACTCCTCGGGACCCGAGCTGAATCTCTGGTTTACCATGTTCTTAAGAACACGATTTGTCGGAATCTGTCCAATTTGGATTCAAGTAGGACATAAAGTTGACGGAAACTCGGAAACTGCACCTACCTGATGAGCCCCAAGAAAGGTGAAACCGTTCACGGGCTGTCAGAGCTCTCAGCAACCTTATGAGTAGCGTATTACGTCTATACAACATTTTCCCCCTATGGAAAGTGTTGAGGGATCCTACGGTCTTTGATTGAGGCTCTTGCCGATAAACCCTTCCGGGGGAACCATTGTATCGAAGTATGCTACGCAGCAAGTCTGATTCTTGTAGTATCAATCGCACATACTTTTCTACTTCTCGACGCTAGGCACTTAAGATTAACTTCTGTTTCAAAGGAGCGAAACCGGCGAATTTGGTATAGTGTCCACTTCATGTATGCAGCGTATGCTGTGATGACGTACCTAAAAGATGACTTCGGAACACATCGAGAAAGGAGAGTTGGTCACTTCCTTCATTTCCACAAATCGATCGGTGCGTATGCTCCACTTGCCACACGGTGAGCGGCCCTACATAACCCGAGCACCCCGCTCGCTTGTCAGAACGCCCAATCTCGGCTTTCCGTTAACGGAAGCACGACGCATACGCGTTCGGGGCGAAGCAATTCATGTCGCCGTCTCCCCTTGTCCTTGCGTGTGGTCACGTGATCACCTGGCCTAGTTGGCTGGTCATTCATGTGGCTCATCCACTGGGGCTAACGCGAATGTTTGGGTAGCTGGGTCCGGGTAAGGCTTTCTGTTACCACCAAGTTGACTGAACATCCAAGTATGCGCAGTGGGGTGACTGGAAAGTGGGACAGTGCACAGTGCGGTAGTACGGCAATTATGACCAATGCTGTCCGTACAAACAAAACGATGGTAGATATTTTGAGTGTTCCATTCATTTGTGTAGCTCAGCTCGTAACTTCTTTCTACTGTTTGACATAACACGTTTTATCAAACCTGCACACGAATTTCTTTGAGTCGTGGTCCTTGTAATGGTGTCGAACAGAATGGTAGGTCTGGATGCTCCCAACTTCGGTGCAAATCCGAATTTCAGAGCTGAATCGTTACATGTGGGTGAGTATGGTTAGCGTAATGTATTTAAGAGGATGTACAATCCTCCAGTCGATGGTTAGACTATCCATTAATACATAAACCTGTGCTCCACAAGAGTTCGTTTTATCAACTCCAGTCCATTTCTGCTGAAGTTGGGAACCCAATTTCTAGTTGGTTGATTGAGTGACACGCAATCGGTTATCACGTAAATGCCAGTCGTATAGCATCCCAACAGACAAAGCACTTAAAAGTTAGCCACTCCTACACACGCAATTAAAGACTATACAGGGTTTTTTTGGTAAGTTTCGCTATTTGGAGAACAGCGTCAGAACCCAGCACTCGCCTTCTCTTCAATGGGGATGATGAGAAATTTATTTCTTTATGTCATGGAGATAACTCAGCGAAAAACTGCGAGGAAATAGTGCCGATTGTGTGAACAAGGTTCCCACGGGTGCAGTTTTCACAATACATATTGAAGAAAAATGACCTGTAAAGTTATCTTGTTTTAGAGCTTTAGAGAAAGGAAGTAAAAATTTTGTTTTCTTGTGAGTAGCTACGAAGATGTTGAATTCGCATCCAATTCTTATTCGACTGAGAAGTTCTCCTCTCTCATGACGAATGAAAAAAGCTTGTCTAAGTTTAAATTACAGGATATGGATGAAAAGATGCGTTTGGAGGTGATTAATTTTTGAGTGTTCTGTTAATAATGATCCAAATCACCATTACAAAACTGTGGTTGATTGCATTCAATTAAAGATTCCGTCTCTTTATCTGCGAAAACTGCCGCTGAAGGAAATTGGACATTCACAGTGCTCCGCAGTAACAATTCGCGCAGTTTATTTGCAGACACAGATTTCCGTAACAAAATTGCAAATGGAACCACTAATGATTTTAAGCACAAAAAACCCTTCAAGAGTCAGCTTCTGTTCTGTCACGTGCCGAAATCAGACCGACCAACTGTGAGCGCTACTCACACAATGTAGATGCGCAGTTGCAGAGAAGCGATAGTCGAAATGTCATCCAATCATCTGATAAAAGTGTGGCAGATCGATTTATAGCATTTAGGAAGAGAAGTGATCAAGGTAAGTCGGCTTCTTTATGGCAAGTTTTTGGAAAATTATGAGGCGAGCCCTGATGGTATTCATCATCTACACACCGAAACCCACACTTTTCCATCAAATTGTGGTTTACCATTCCTAAAAAACTTGGATGATCCGGTAGTTTTGCCGTCCGATTACTACTCCCATTGACATTATTTGTCGGGAAATAAGATGGTCGATGGCCCCATATGACAATGACCGATCAAACAATTGACGATGAAGGTAAGACGTTTTGACGAAATTTTGATTAACAGGGTTTACTTGCGCTACATGAACTTACACTGACTGTGAATTCCGTTTTGACCTTGGCGTAATTCATAAATCTCACGGTTCGTGTATGCCGTTGCCCAAGCGGAGCATCAAACTGCACGACGGGTTCCTTTGGGGTTGGTGATGCTTCTAAGTCGAGTGTATAGGCAACAGTACTCAGTTCATTACACGAGACTTCCAACCGACCCTGCTGAGTTCCAACAAATAGTGGTAAGTATTCAAGTGTTGCATCAACCTGGGGATGATAGGAAACAGGAATTTTTTAAGTCACGTGATTCGAAAGGGAATAGCAATAAAGTGTTTGCTACTGCTAGGTTGCTGTCCGAAATCGAGATGCGCCAATATTGAAGTACCACGGAGTACGGTATCAGACACTACTTGAGACTCTGAAATCAAGTCGTTCCAATCTTTATCATAAATGATGGAGTGGCATTCTTAATGGACAATTCTTAGCCTTCTTTGGTCACATTTTGGAATGTTTGTACCGTTTTGCATTACACATGGACACTAACCACCACTGTAAGCTGTGGTCGTTGGCTTGTTCACTGAGCTGGGCAATTTGATTGCAAACGTTTCGTCACCAATCGAGGTGACATCATCAGTGCGTTATTTGGGAGCGCAGTTGTGCTTAGCCGTGGGTTGGGGGTTGTGCACAACTACACTCCCCTGATGATGCCACCTCGATTGGTGATGAAACGTTTGCAATCAAAGTGCCCAACTCAGCGAACAATCCAACGATCATCTACGCTACCTGAGCTAACAACGTTTTCCTTCTGTAGAAAACTGTAAGTTTTATTTATTCAACACTCAACTTCTGCATTCTTACAGACTTCCCCCTCGTGTGAACCAATATGCCCGTGAGTTCCACGTTCGCCTCCTCACAATCCCTTAGAGTGAGCTAGAGTCAGCTAAATTTTCGGTCGTTTCAAAATCAGGATAACTCAGTTCTCATCTTTGTGAATAGCATCTGTTAGAAGGGGTGTTGACCAGTACAGATTCGTTGCTCAGAGATCTTTCAAACAGTGGGTCACATATCAAGCAGGTGTTTATCTGTACTCTACAGCCCTCTCATACAGAAGGCGTATATGATAGGTCTTCACAGTCAGGTGAGAGGAATTCTAAAATCCCACAAAGCATCTTGTGCTTCGCTGTTCATTATCCTGTTTACTCGAATGTTTGGAAACAGAATGCTTTCCAATAGGGACGTGTCCACATAACAACGAGGACTACACGCGAAAGCTTCTGATACCGCACAGACTGCCACACAAGAAAACCAAACTAAGATATTCACAAAGCTGCTGTTATGCACCGAATCAAGGGAATTACCTGCTGCAATAAGTTCTTGTCAAAACTGAGAAAAGAACAGTCTTATTAGACCCAAAATCAAAAGCAAGCAGAATATCCACACATGTACGCTGCGGTGTCGTGCGATTGCGCGCAGACCTTGTCGGTCCTATAACTGTACCGTGTTGTGATTGGTCCAAGTGCATAAGTCAATGGATTTCAAGGCCGAATTCACAGCCAAATCCGAACCAGTCTTGTGCTGTTGCTGAGGTCCACTGACCGTCCCAATCAGAATTTCTTTACAAGTAAGGTGAGTACAGTCGCCGCCTGTTCAACATGGAAGTGAGGCTTTATCAACCTCATGATTGGACGCAAATTCAGCATTCAACAAGTTTGCATGCCCTGGCAAAAGCTCCATCAAGCATCTGGCAACCGAACGTTCACATAATTGGACACCCTTGTTCGTGGGATACCCATAAGAACACAGGAGCAAAGTTGGGAATGAGAAGATGTTCCTTTTAGGGTATATGTTTTTTCTTGAGAAGTCTCATTACTAAAGTGACAGCTGTGAGTTCTCCTCAAAGATATCTTCTCAGGGTATTTTTTTAGTTCCATAATCTATATGGTCTGTTGTTCTGTTACAAATTACTGTAAGTTTACCGCAAGTCGTGCTTATCATACCGCTGTAGTAGTTAACTCTCAGAACATCCTTATGTTGTTCGCTGGAGCAGTAGCATTTAGTCCGGCACTAGCTTACTTGAGGACGTGTGAATAAGTCTTCAAAAAGGACTCAGTATGACTATCTACAGGCAAATGAATCTGCCATCGTAACGTGAAGTTGTGCTGCCTGGCTCGAGTCCACAACTATGATCTCCTTCGAAAGTGAGCCACTTGCAGGGAGAACCCCTACGAGTTCCTTTCATCAACTTTGACCCAGTGAACTGTGCACCCGAAAAGAGGTTGTTTCTTAGAGTAGACTAAGTATCTCCTTTTCTGTTGGTGATCTCTGATAAGTACCTCTCAGATCACAAACCGGGCGCCGGTATGTTTCCACTTTCTGCAAATAACAGGGAACAAATCTTCCCTTGCTTTCCGTTTGACATTTTGTACCTTGTCCGCTGATTCTGATTCACACATTCAAACCAAGCTGCTTCATAGTTGACGAGCGAGAGTTTAGTTACGTACAAAAAAGTAAGATGAATACTTGACAACGAAGATGGTCTCGTCAAAAGAAATGGCTCGGAAACTTGGGTGAGTAACTTACCGAGCATTTGGCAGGTACTTGCAACTGACTAGGATATTGCACTTCTGGGACATTGGTGATAAGGTTGAAAGTCACTGGAACATTGAGTGGGTTGTGAAGCTGGATAGTACATTTGGCGGCCTTTCGAATCCGAGTGCGCATTCGAATAACTTCCAAAACTTTTGACTTTACGGTTTTGAACGTTAGTTCACAAAACTGATACTCGCCGCTAGACTCGTTGGTGAATGTTACCTGAATAAATCCGAGGTCGTAAAACGCATCGTTAGAAGAAAAAACAATTAGTCAGCTGTAACACCCTTTCGGTGCCTAGTTGCCGTGTCACCCAAAGGAAGCATGAGGGCTGGGATACTGTCAGATTGCCCAAGAGGTCAGGTTCGAACCACAGACCTTCCCGTCGGTAAATTCGCGCTCTAACCACTTGAACCATCTTTAGAAAGCACCTGAGGCGAACAACCTGCTTGTCTGTTTGACAGACTAGCCGCATTGTTTACTCCAAAAGTAAATGAAATCATTAATTACAAGAGCAATATAGATAGAACTACAGACCTTGTGTGAACCTGGGGACCAAATCTTCACATCATTGACACCAGTAGGATAATCCTAGCGATGTCTTATCGTGGTGTCGCCATCGTCTCGTTGTCAACACAAGCTGTTATCATTCGGCTGTAAGTTGCCCCATGTAGAATACAGAATATCCTCACCGGCACCTGTGAGAAGCCTAGATTTCTTATTGACAAAATACATATCGTACTGTGCGTTTGCTAGCCTCAAACTTTCAGCCCAACGCTAGAATCATACGGCATATGCCATTTATCGGTTACAGTGAAATATAGATTGGTAGAACGGAACGGTGACTTTCTCAGCGAAATTCTAACCACTTACCAAAGGAGATGTCAGAGAACATACAGATGACAGATAACAGCTTGTTAACAACGTCAGGTAAGTGAACATTGATTGCGCTACATATTTATGGTACAGGCGTATAGTTGACCCTCTCAAGTCCTCAGGATTCTGCTACTAGCTTCTTGTAAAGCAAGGTTTGGTCGTTGGCCTGTTCGCTGAGCTGGGCAATTTGATTGCAAACGTTTCATCACCAATCGAGGTGACATCATCAGTGCGTTATTGTGGAGCGTAGGAGTGCGTAGCAGTGGGTTGGGGGTTGTGCACAACTACGCTCCACAATAGCGCACTGATGATGCCACCTCGATTGGTGATGAAACGTTTGCAATCAAATTGCCCAGCTCAGCGAACAGGCCAACGACCAAACCTTGCTTTACAAGAAGCTAGTAGCAGAATCCTGAGGACTTGAGAGGGTCAACTATACGCCTGTACCATAAATATGTAGCGCAATCAATGTTCACTTACCTGACGTTGTTAACAAGCTGTTATCTGTCATCTGTATGTTCTCTGACATCTCCTTTGGTAAGTGGTTAGAATTTCGCTGAGAAAGTCACCGTTCCGTTCTACCAATCTATATTTCACTGTAACCGATAAATGGCATATGCCGTATGATTCTAGCGTTGGGCTGAAAGTTTGAGGCTAGCACACGCACAGTACGATATGTATTTTGTCAATAAGAAATCTAGGCTTCTCACAGGTGCCGGTGAGGATATTCTGTATTCTACATGGGGCAACTTACAGCCGAATGATAACAGCTTGTGTTGACAACGAGACGATGGCGACACCACGATAAGACATCGCTAGGATTATCCTACTGGTGTCAATGATGTGAAGATTTGGTCCCCAGGTTCACACAAGGTCTGTAGTTCTATCTATATTGCTCTTGTAATTAATGATTTCATTTACTTACTTCACCTTTTTCATGGCAATGTGGGTTGCTAAAAGTAAGTTGAAATGTTAGTCAGAATAGTTTAATCTTTCTGTATAGTTTTCTCACACGACGTGTCAAGAAAGTTTCCTCCTTTCCAGTGTAACTAAGTATCAACGAAGATTCCACAGCTGTCCATCGCAAGACGACACCTACATGCCACTTTCTGTAGTGTCATCCGGCTTTCACCAGTTAGGTGAATTTTAGGGCGTGCATGTGGTCTCCCCGTAGAAGAGACGCTGTGCTCGAACGTTGCCGCTGCTCGTGCTTCATCGGTAGCGACGATTCGGAATCGAGGTATCCTTCTCTGGGAGAGAATCGCCGTCAGATAAGCAAGCAGTGGTTTATAGATTTATGTCAATGTCTGAAGGTAGAAATGACAGGTGGGCTCGTATTGGCAGTTACACCGTCATGATCTGGCTAGAATGGAAACATCAGCGGTGACATAGTACAGTAGTATGGATACCGACAAATGGGTTTGTGGATGTCATTAGGAGGACTTGATAAAACGACCTACCCGGACCACGGTGGTACATTCACGGTAACCCATAAAGTGCAGCTTATATTCTTTGCTCCCATCAGCAGGTACTTCAATGTACTCAACTCCGTTCAGACTTGTTCCTGGATCCAATCTGTCAGGCCGAATCACGCTCAGGTGGACTTGAAAACGTTGAGTACAGTTCAACCAGTTCGTCACGTTGATACATTCGACATGTGGTTTTCTGCATTCCACCTCACAGTTTCTTTGAAACATTGGTTTGGGGGCGTCAGCCGATCCCACGAGTTGATACAGCAATCCCGTACCGTCAGGTAGCGGGAAGAAAACGGTGCCCTGGTTGACAAGAATGCAAAAAGTAGACACAAACACTCATAAGACTACGCATGACAGTGGCTAACAGCGGCGAAACTGTCATGCTTACTTACGCTTCGGTGTAAATCTTTGGTGTAAATCCTTAATCACTGAACAAGCTAGACGGCAACATACTAAGACGCTCAAAGACACTTTTCGTCTTGCCTTATGAACAATGATACCATAAACTGACCATTTAGACAAAGTTCATAGTGTTTTTGAAAACGGAAGAACGGTAACCTTCACATAAAGATTGCTCAAACAATAAGCCGAAGGGCTGGATGGTCGTGGAATAACAGACAAGAGGAACAAGCGAAAGACACGTATAGGAAACAAGGAGCACTGACTAATCCCGGGTAGTAATTCCACGTTATGAATAGTCGTCATATCTCTGTAATTGATCCGGTGAGGCCGGTGAGGCTTCTAGATCCACTACTTGTTGGCTGACGCAGCGTGAAGACTTTCAGTTATGTGTCTCCAAAGAGTCTGCTCCAATACCACGCTCATCCCAAAAATAATCACGTTTGGTTCGCAACTTGAAGTCTCGTTTAATTTACTGAGACCCCGAGGAATTCATCACTTTAGATCATTTCATTCAGCTAAGCTTACCATGAAAATCGATCATATGTTGAAGATTGCATGGCATTTCTGTGCGAAGCGTTTTAAAGGACAAGAAAAACGTGGTATGAGAGCCCAATCAAGGTGAAAACAGCCATAATTGTATTATCATTCGTGGGAACCATCAAGCACGTACTGGGTAGCATTACGTTAGTCTCATGACCCCTGATCACCTACTAAGTGATTCCGTGGAAGTATCGCATTATGTCAATGCAGAGCCTCTCCTGAAGAGCACTTTTTCTGGGAACTGGTCACAGCCTCGCTACTGTTGGAAGTAAACTCATTCGAGGGTGACGCACTTTATGGAACACTTCGTTGAAATCTATCGTACAAGTGAGTTAGGAATTAACCAGTATGATGGAAAATGCAATAGAAGGACTTTCCATTAATTCACCAAAAATGAACTTGGATATTGTCGTTGTGAAGAATAGGTAGACTGACCTAGTTTCGACTTGTTTTCTACGTAACTCATTCCAACATCGAGTCCACAGGCTTGTCAGAAGGTAAGCTGGAACCTACAGAGACCTGTCTATGATTCACGGCCCATACGTTTCAGAATTAGTGTGGCAAGAATCTCATCCATACCGCTCTAAAGAAGGGTTGCATTCGTGGTCTGCCGTAACACTAACTGGAGCCACACAAATTAATGCTTACCATACTTTGAGGCACTTTTTGGCATGATAAAGACCATGAACTATCAGTTTCATCGGCTTGATGACTTCTGTCGGTAGCAGTCTCATCAGGCCTACCCTAATCTAAAGTGCATCGTTGCATTGCCTCTAGGGCCTTATTGGCATTCGAATCAAAGGTTTCCGAATAGATATCTGTTACCCCATCTGCGCAGCCAAGCCTTATTAGTAATTCTGAGATGACAGATGTACAAAAGTCACTTCGGCTTAAGTCATTAGAAAGCGCAATTCTTTGAAAACATCTCTCTTTGGAGGTAGTCTATCTTTCCTATTCCAAACAACTTTGGAACGAAGCCATTTAAAGCCAGGAGGTTAGCTGTTGCGGAGTCACTTTGCAAACCAAGGGTTGCCGGTGCAATTGCTACGCTCAGTCAATGGTAAGCATATTGTTAAAAGTTATAAATTTACACTCAGCTGTTTACATTTACCACGAGAGTTTATTCCTATGTCCAGTATCGTATCATATCGTCATTTTAGCCCATTGTCAGCTTTCGAATAAATGAGTTGTGACTTTATGACGAGGAGTCATAGTGGTAGGATTAGTTTGTAACACACCTCGTGAACACACGATTGGCTAGAATAAACTAGAAAAATTGACGCGAAGTATTTCAGTGGAGAGAGCTTCTGCCTTTTAACGGATCCACAATCTGGGGCTGTAAGTTATGCATGACTGGTTCGTACACAAAGCAGATGAGAGGCGATTACAAGATTGAATTCAACTTTATGGTTCTAGATGATGAACAACTAAAATTAACTATGACCGAATCCTCAGGAAAGGAATGGAAGTCAATCTCCCAAGAGATTGCATTAACACTCCCTTCATCCAAGAACCAAGAATGGGGGATGGTTATCTTGTTCTCTTGTCCTTTTAACAAGATAATCCGCACACTGGCCTATACTTGGCATGAACGAAATTTTTATAGTACTCACAGGGTATCATCTGTGCTTATGCCGCGCTTTTCCTTCCTAGGTCCTAGGGGATACTGTTTTCATAACGTTACAAAACAGGGACACGAGTTTCATGCAGCATTTTTTGGCTTTTAACAACATATATCAGGAATAATTCGGGAGGGCGAATCTGAAACTGCCATTCTAAGAACTTACCTTGTGTTTTTGTTCTTCTCTTGTCATAGTCATTGGCTTGTAGACCAGTTTGTACACACCTGTCTCCTGGGGCTTAATATCGAGTACATGCTCACCGGACCAGCAGGGACCGTCCAGTACAGGTCGAAGTTTCCACATGTAATTGGTAGGATTTACGATTTTCACGGTCTGCGTATCTTGCTGACGAACTGCTGTGGCGAACTGTATCGGACCCTTGATTAGCTTAGGTGGGATACACGCGCCAGTGACGGTTAGTTTCACGGGACCGACGCCATCGATATCGCATGTGACATCCTACGTTGTAGCATCCATGTAGTATGCAGAAGAGCAGTGGAACAGTTAGCATGAGGTCAACAGCACTACCAGATCATGGAACATCCTAACAACGACCGATAATGCTTTTTAGTCATCTGGTGATGGCTGCTTTGTTCTTCTTGGTTGGTAAGCTGCTTAAAGGTTGATGAGCGATTCACCACCAGATCCAATGTACTATTTTCATCATCAGCAAAATACATTCATTTGCAAACAGATTTGGTTTTGTGAGCGACTCACCGGAAACCCAGCTGAATATCTCGTTTATGATGTGTCGAAGAATTTTCAGCAACCTTATGAGTAGCGCATTACGTCTATACATGTTTTCACCATTACTGTTAATCAAAATGAACATTTACGAAGCTCACCTCAAAACGTATTTCTGGAGCGAGTTTGGTGGGTCTCAAGGTCAGCGAGAATGGGACTTCAGTATTCGGAGCGATGAAGCCTTCCATTGGGGCAATGTTCAACCCGGTCCCAATGGTTTTATCCACCCATCGGAATCTGAAATGAAGCCACATGATGCCAGTGTAGATGTGCAAATATTTTGTAAACATCGGAAAGTTAGGATAGTCGGTGACTTCAAAGATGAATCGACTTATGACGGATAGACGCACGCGCAAGCTGGGTTTGCTAGTATCTAGACCTAAAGACGACTGTGGATTGGTGCACGAATTCGAAATTCCCTGTCGGACTGGACGGTCTGACAAATCAACCGATTGCGTCGCAACGTGATGCTAGCACCCTCATTGGACGGTATCACTAGACGCGAATTTTTCCCATCTTATTCGTTCATGATCATTTTTGCGCTCATTTCTACATTGTCCTCATTCCAGAAAGCAATACTTTTAGTATAAGTAACAGTGGTCCTTTTATTCCTAATCCCCATTACTTGTCCCTACCCTTAAACCACAAAAGAGGAATCTGCCGACAAACGGACACAGCTATGAGATCCTCATTGGGTCACTTTAATAGATAAATGATGAAGCTAGCAGATAAGAATACTAGCTCGCTATCAGCAGTTGGACGAATTCTTCCTCATTTTGTTACAGGATCCAAACGAAAACGATCGTTCTTGTTTGTACGAGTTCTATCAACGGATCCGAACAAAACGGCCGGTGGATGTCAGCGTCACTGAGCACGGAGCCAGAGCCACTTGAAATCCAAAGTTTACGAAACGATAATTTTGCTCCATCAGAACGGACGAAAAATCGAACAAAATGTCTTGCTGGACTAACTATGAGAATATTAAGTCCTGAGTGTCTCCAAGATGAACTGGACACTATGAAACAGTTGATCACTCACAGGGGCTAACTTCTTAGGTTCGAGATTAGAACGAGGCAATGCAAACTGAAACCATCGGGACATGTGTTTACACTAATCTGTCGTTTGAAGGAGATATTGTCGCTGACATTCTGAAACTCAACTAGTCAAAATATGATGACTGTTCATTTTTCCCTGAGTACCAGTTTTAGCCTTCTCACCATTTCCTAGCTGAAGGGCATACTGGCAAAGTTCACTGATGACTAATTGTGTTCTACCCTATACTTGTTTGAGACTTCTTACGAGACCCTATTTGTCAAACAACCCGAGGGTGTGAGGAGCATTGATTAGTCACGAACGACCGGGTCGAAACCAACCCACACTGATAGACGATATAACTGCGCCTCTCAAGGTGAATCACGAAGTACACGCTTCCAGCTACTGTTGGAGCCACAGTAATTTGATAGTAGGAAATTATTTTTATCTTCGAAAGGACACTTGAGGTTACGTTGAACGGAAAAAAACCTTCTTCGCACAACAATTTTCTTCAGGAATCTAATGCCTTGCACTTTCGTTTTGACCCATACGCCATAATCTTTCTCCTGAGTGCTGACAGCTAAGAATATGATGTAAAACCCCAACCAGTAGTCACAGAAGAATACTTGTTCATAACGTTTGCCCCAAGAGGATAAAGTGCGATGTAGTTCTTTAGGCTATATACTACTCTGCTGATTTCATAGAATTTGGGTGCTTTTAGACAGTAACATTTAGTATCCAGGTGCACGAGAAGATGAGAATGTTTGATACCTGTTAGCTGGTTACAAGACGGTTCATTTCCACGTCATATTTTAACTTTTAATGGATTGAACTGGACAGTTTTTGAAATAACTAGCTACATCCAGGAGTTACAAGAATAATGCTTTGGGCATTTGACGCGAAACATTGAAAAAAAAACTGAAAATTTCCACAATGAATTTAAAGGAGCATCCCTTGGTGCCATGTAATCTAAAGAGGTTTTAGGCAATAGATTTTTAGACAATTTTCGGTGTAAAGTTAGGTGACGCCATCCAACAACTTTGTAGATTCGAGCCGAGAGGTTAAGGAACGTAACGTTGAGCAGAGTTTCTGTCATAGTGCTTGTAACTCCACAGGTAATTCTGTTCCACAAGACTCGATAATTGGTAAAGGACGGTCAAACTGTAGTAAGAATCAACCCTGGTATTTGCGAATGCTTTGACCGTAACTCCTTCGTCCTGATTTTGCTAAAGCCACATGAGGTTTCTTCAGTCAGACCGTTAACGGTCGCCTCAGCTGAAAGAGGTTTACTTTGGACGGCTGCTTTGAGGGCGAACTTGATAAATATTTTCCCTTCTGAATTCCTACAGTTATTATTCCCATGTTCCATTCGGTAGATAGTGTCTGTTCTGCTACGAAGCTCCTCGAATTCTTTCTCATATAGCATGATTTTTGTCACAAGTTTCTCAAATATAAACCATTCTGTAGTTTGGAAAACTGGAAAAGCTACACGGTAACTCGTCAGGGGAAGATCCGCGCAGCTGAACCGATGAGTGCCATCAGGCTAGTAATATAGGTTACTCAATGTGATAGGACCAAATGATCCGGGAACTTGAAACCAACTTACTTTGCTCCCAAATCTCCTGAGTTGATGAGAACCAACCGTTTTGAAAGTTGACCACCGCACACGACTGGTCCGAAACTGACCGACTGTATATCGAATCGAATGTCGTGCACTTCGCAGTAGCCCTGGACTCGAAACACAGGTAGATGGTGTAGAGTTGTTTGAGTCGCCGGTAGACAAGGTGGTTTTCCACTGTCTACACTACCCAGTTCGCAAAGTACCTCTGCTGTGAACCGGGGTATTCGGACAGTAGAATCAAAGGTCACTTCAACCATTGTTGTTCCAACTTTTGGTTCCAAAACAATCGGAAGAGGGGCGGTGGAAATGGGTGCAAGTCCCAGCTGATAGTCTTCCGAAACAGGGTTGCACAGTCTTACTTGAANAGAGGGGCGGGGAAATGGGTGCAAGTCCCAGCTGATAGTCTTCCGAAACAGGGTTGCACAGTCTTACTTGAAGCTCTTTTGAGAGCATTGAACATGACGCGGATGAAATTTCTCCACCTGGATTGCTCTTTGATTTGACAGTGCGGGACTCCTCGAATACTACCGACTCTACCTTAACTCGGTATATTGCTACTGGTGCTGCACTTTTGTTAATCAGAGTCACGCACCTGCGCGCCTGCTGATTTTTTCTCAAGGAACCCAGGTCTACAACGGTTGACATTTCGTCTGGTTTTGTCTCTGTATATTTAATGCTTCGTTGCTGTCCGTTAGGTTTAGTGGTCAAGATCAAGAGTGGCCCAATCACTGGTTGAATTCGTAACTTGATGCCTGTCCCAAGTATTCTGATCGTATATAAGGTCGATCCGTTCACTTCGAAGGTAAACCTCTCCTCATATTGCTTGCACGCTTTTGGAGTGAATGTGAAGCAAACATTGGTGGAATTCGTCTTTCCATCCTGAGATTCACTAGCCTTCGGCTGCAGAACCGTGGGTCTCATGCTGTGCTGAAATACATCCGAATTCGGAGTTAGGCATTCTACACTTATGGAGCGACTCGGATGGATGTTAGACAGGGTTAGACAACGTACGGCCGGTTCGAGTCCAGGCCTGGAAACCAGTTGTGAACCGAAATCAATAACTGAAGTGGAGAATTCCAACAATCTGCCCGATGTATGACCAGTTAGCTGTAATCCATAGGCCGGTCCCTCCCGAATAGCCAAGCAGGCACTAATTAAACCATCGAGAGTCATTTTTTGAGTTAGACATTTTGATAGCTGTTTTGGGGGTGAAAATGTAAATGTACAAACGACATTCTCCCCTGGCTGCAGATTTCCAGACACAGGAGCAACTTTCACAACAGGACCTCGTGACTGTTCCGGCTCGGCTGACAAGAAGCTGTGTGCCAGCTCTAGCTGAGCATTATTCATCACGTTTCCCTGATTTACTGAACACATCCATGCGTAGTCACAACCAAACTTGCCGCAGTTGAGCACAGTCACTCTCCGCGTTACCACCTCCCCTGGGTCCAGTTCACCGAAATCCAGGCATCCAAATTTGCGATGATATTTGCCAAAGTTTGATTGTATGGTATTATTCACTTCCAGCACAATTTGGTCAATATCAAGACCTAAACAGGGAGTCCATAATGGCTGTAATTCAACCGTTGACTTCTGTTCATTAGCAGACTCAACAAAAACGGATATCGACATGGAGTAGCCTTCTGCTTTGACGTTCAACGCCAACGGTCGTTCGCAGTATTTAACTTTACACAATAATTTTATGTTGATCGATCTTTCAGCCTTGGCAGTGAACGAAATTTTAACAGGAACCCTGGAAAGAATAATGGACCGGTTGGAAAGAATGTTAGTGATTGTACGTAAAGTCTAGAGGTGGATATTCTTCGCGGAATAAACGGCTTTCCAAAGCATCTTCACTTTCGCGAAATACGCTCTCACTGATTTGGTTTTAATGGGAGACTCACCTAGATCCTATCTAAATCTCTCGATTATGACAGTCTTCAGCTGGGACTCTGTCAAGTCTCTTGTTAAAACCATATTGCTGCGAAAATGGATGTATTGTGTGAATCGCGAACAACTTGTGCTCAGGTAGAATACGAAGTTGGCGGAAATTCGGGGAGTGTGCTTAACTGATGAGCCCCAAGAATGGCGAAACCGGTCGCGGGCTTTCGAAAAAATTTCAGCAACCTTATGAGTAGTGCATACGTCTATACATGCATCGCAATATCTCGAATATCGTAGCAACTAAAGCATGAGGCGACTTGATGCAGCATATTCAGTTGCTTGAAAACATCACGAACGAGAGATTCCGCCGAGTTCCAGGCGAGTCTCCCACAAAATCAAATTTGTTTGCAAATGAGGGTATTTCTCTAAGAAAGTACACATATTAGCAAGTTGAATGGGTCAAAATGTAACTCCTACAGTAGACCGCCTAAGAGTCGTTGCAAGATTGCTAGACTAGGTAGTCGTATCCTGCTACAATTCAGCAATAAATGAAAAAGCACTGGATTCAAACTCCTCTGTCATTCACGGCCGTACCGGTATTTGGATTTTGTGAATTTGACAAGTGGGTCGAGCGAGTACTCCCACTTAGTCAAGAAGCGCTGAACAAAGCTAAGCCCTTACGCCTAAACATTTCCGCAGTTTTAGTGACGTGACTCACCGGCCCGATATTTTGAACAACTATCCGCTTGGTGGGACCTTAGAAAGCCGTGGGATTTGTCTCGCACTTAAATTCCGAAAATTTTGCAGCCAAACACCAGACACTCAAATCAAATAGTTGACTGATATTTTGCAAGGGCTTGCAAACTCTCTCGTAAGCCTATAATTCTGTCTCCACTAATTCAAAATTACAGCATTTTTTTCAGGTAAAGATATGATTAGATCCGCCCTATAATGAACACAGTATTCCCGAAATGAAGCTACCTGTCTAGAGAAATAGACTGTAAAGAATGTCCAGCAAGAGAAAACCTCCGAGAACACAGCGGGGGCACCTCCTAAGGAGTGCCTGCTCCTCAGTATGATTACTATTGAAGCTTCTGTTGTACGCCTGTTTATGAAATGAAGGCAAAACCATATCACCCTGTCAGTGCGAAGCGTTGACCAACCCATGCTTATTGACCTGGGGGACAGAAACCACTGGGCCAGTTTGCTAAAGCTGTCTCAGTCAGCTCTGAATGGGCAGCAAATCTGTGCTCAGATTGATAGGCAAAATTTGGAAGGGTTAGTGAAGCGGTGAGTGTGACCTCTTTTCAACTAAGGGAGGACCACCAATCTCACCGTTCGGCTTTTGGAGCTGTGCATTCAGGGGTACGTTTGACACCTAGGAAGCCACCTACTCTAATAATGGTAATTCGTTGGCGTTGAATAAACAACTCATTCGCATAGAGACTTGAATAAGTCTTGTGTTGGCTGCGTTCTGTAGTTGTAACAAATTCCCATGGACAGCTCACACTTTTCTACCGGTTATACAACGCAAATTGCCTGTCGACTCAGTTGAAATGTGTTCTCTTCATGAGGGGTGCCATAAACAAGCTCGGTGTTAGCTGACAATGCTGTGGGTATGTGGAACCAGATTTCATTGGACAAATTTGTCAGTAGAAAATTTTTGTGAGTTTCTAATCATAATATTTAATCATTTGGCTGACCAATGAACTCATATCAAAGAGAAAAAGTGAGTTGGGCTACTTGACGAGTCTGCTAGAAACAACTTGAAACAACTCCAAAAGAGGGAGGAAGCTAGCAATCCGAAATGCCATTGGCTGCTAGGCCGGCTACTGTGCTTGACTAAAATGTTTTTTTCGTTTACTTGTATACATTCAACAACATCAGTCCTACAGAACAGGGCAAACCTACCGATCACCAGGATTCACGTAACCACTCATTGGTTGGACCATTATCCAGTCTTGCCTGCCGGGCCCGTAGCGACTGGATTGCTGCTAGGCTACTGTGCTTGACTAAAATGTTTTTTTCGTTTACTTGTATACATTCAACAACATCAGTCCTACAGAACAGGGCAAACCTACCGATCACCAGGATTCACGTAACCACTCATTGGTTGGACCATTATCCAGTCTTGCCTGCCGGGCCCGTAGCGACTGGATTCCAGGAATTTGTACTGTAGAGGTTCATGGATTCCATTTGAGGTGGACTCATGGTTTATCAGATACACGTCCCGAGAGATTGTATGCCCCACTAGAACAGACTTTAGATTGAGGTGTGAACGGTCCAATGTGACCTGTGGTTCTCTGGTATGTCCAACAACCAGAAGTGGGACAGCGAATTGAAGTTGCTCGATGTACAGCCGCCAAAACGACTCGGTGATACCCAGCGTACTCGGAGTGAAAGTGAACTGCACCTGAAAGCACAAGCGAGTAGGATTGCAGTTGGTCTACAGGGTGAACCTTTCACCCTTTATTTCAACTCGTATTAATCGCTTACTTAAGTGAACAGACGAAGATTGGACACATGGAAAAGCCTGTGGTTTGTTACACTACGGTCTGAAGCTTCAGGCGAAAACCCTAGCTCTACGCATAGTTCTTTTTGAAGTAACTCTGTGGCATGTGACAAAAAGCTTCACGTCAATAGCCCATTCCACTCCTGTCATAAAATACTGCTTTTAATAAGGGCTTATTGGTAGTTGAAGTTTGGGGAAATATTGCCCAACTCATACTAGGGCTACTAGACGCGTCGAAGGTGGTTTGACATCCAGCAACCTTTATCAAGTGTAGTCAGGAATGAGCAACCTTCACGATACTGGATTACACTAATCCGTGTGAGGAAAAGAGGAAATGTGCTGAGTAGCTTTGTCAACAAAATAAAGCACACCTCAGTTTCTCTGCCACTGGTGATTTGTCCATGGGATGTGGTGCATATTACTGGCTTGTAGTCATTTGCTGTCCACCCATCTTGGTTTTGAATTTCGAAATCCAGATTTTCTGAAGTGAGATTGGCCACGGAGAAACATCTGGAATAAAAGATGATACGGTAAATTGTGTAAGAATAAGTGCGAATTTCCACGCTTCTAGCGTCTGGCTTAAGAAGGCGCGGCAGTGAATAGCACACCGTGTTGCAAACGATATAAGCCGAAATACAGGGGCAAAACAGTTAAATTGTCCCATGTTATTTAGCCGGTGAATTTTCGTCCGAATCTGAGGGCAGGAAACCTGAACTTCTCCCCAGGGAGAACAGGGTAAATGTGATAGTTGACTTCCCAACCGCTCTATTTTCCTAATCAGGATTGCTAATTCCTCAGAAAGAAGAGATATCTGTGAAGATTACGCAAACATCTGACCGATGCTAAGGATGGTTTTATTCTTGGGAACTCTGTCTTGCTCTAGCAGATAGTTATGAAAGATCTGCAATATTTCATGCCCTTTTACTGTTATATGGAACCATAGAACCGTAAAAGGACTTTTGGAAGTGATCTTCGAAGTCCCAGTGAAAACAAATTTGACTTTGTTACTTGAAGATTCGCGTTCCCAGCCAGGACACGTTTGAACTGATAGAAAACCCATGTGTTTAAAAATCTGATACGTTTCTTCTGAAAACAAATAACAAAACATTTGCTCTATTGTGGGCACAACCTATTTGCTTTGGTCAAGATGGCTGTAGGATGTGTACAAAACTTTTCTGGTTCGTGTCTGCAGAGGATAGCAATTTCCACTATACCTACCGATCAGGATTTAATACTGTTGGGTTGTCTCCATAGATGATGGAAGGACATTTGCTAATTTTCGCTTCATTTTATCTTGAAAGTCGTGTTATGAACAGAACGCTAGACGGCCAATAGCGTGCCTGCAAGCTGTTACCATAGCTTCCCTTCCCCCAAAATGAAAGGTGCACTGATATCCGTCTGTTCGCGCGTCAGTTATATCGGCAATCACTTCCAATGCGTAATTGTCCCCCCGTTTCTTATCAAGCCCATCGGTGAACGAAACTACGGCAGCCACAACCACTGTATAACAAGTAAGCGGTTGTTCCAGCTGAAGATAGTGATGCTGAAATGAAGATTTGTTTAAAAGCCCACTTTGACGATGGTTGCATCGTTCTGCTGACGTGGGCAAACATATCCATTGCTGACTGGCTTTGTCGGTCACATAGAACTACGCTGATGGATTGGTTGCAGTGTAGGCAGTGTTTTGCATGGTTTGATTTGAGCCGTCAGTCTACGCACCTAAACGCCATTTACCAGGTGTAAACCCAAGGGCCTACACTTCGAGAAATAGCGTTTGATCAGTACATACATATTTCACACACAAGGTCAACCGAATTTCATCCTCCCAGTTTGATGGAACCTGCTTTTAGTATGGCGTGTTGAACAGTGCGGGGTATCTTCAGAATTGAGTCAATTGTCAACGAGTAATTTCTGATGGAATTATCTCCAAACTAAAAGCCGCACTACCAGGTAGAGTTTCGGTTTTTGTGTCAACCATCGAGCACCTCTCCGAAAGTATCATTCAATATGGGAAAACTATACTAATAGTATACTAGCAAGATAGTTTATTCTTGAAGTTGCTCACAAGCAAACAAAAAACTGGCAATGATAGTTCCACCATGTGTAATTATTTTGGCACCCACTGTGGGTTTGGGATTTATTCCAAACTATATGGGGGTGTTTTACTGGAGATAAGAGGGGGACCAGGCTCACGAGAGCCTTCGGTCCTAAGGCAAAAACATCACGGAGCAAGTATGGTGAATCTACCGATATCCGATTATGATAGATAGATATGTTGTGACAGGGTGATAGAACACTGTTCGTCTAATATAGAAAGGTCACGCTAATTAATGCAGTGCATTAAATTAGACATATTAGTGTATTTTACCTATCCGCGAATGCAAATCGCGAAATGTTAATGAAAACTCATCGCCTGCTCACTTGCTAACGGTGGTTCCAACGCCGATTGTCCATAGTTCGATTACTCGGGTAGCTGGATCAAGTGGGCCTCCTAGTGGTTGACCTGCTGGTCCTGGACGATCCGGATTCCGTCGACCACCTAACAGGTAGTTGGATTCACAAAGGTCAAAGTGAATGAAAGGCTGTTCAGCTATGCCCTCCAGTTGAACCATTGGACCTGTGTTTTCCCCATGTGCTTCCAATGGGCTGAGGTTCTCGAACATACCACGCAATCGGGCCGCGAATTTACCAGCAACTAATGGGCTGAAGGCCACCTGTAACAGGTCGGTGAAATAATAATTTTGGAAAACGACAAATCAGATCCAGGTAGTTGCATAACAATGGTACACCGGAGACGAAAGACTAGACATGTTAAGATAGCTCAGTGGTTAAAGCGCCAGCTTGCAGTTCGTGGTTTGAACCCAACCTCAGCAGCTCGACTGCTCTTGTCTAGACATGGGCGATCTGGCAGTCCCATTGCCCTCAAGTTTCATTCCGTTGGCATCATACCTAGGCACCGAAAGGGTTCCACAACTGAACGATTTTTCGACGTATTGATAATATGGGGGGACTCGGAGGCTTTAATAGACATTTAGTCCTGTAAGTGAAAAAGCTGAGGAGCACTGTATGGCTGTTTCATCCGTGTTTGGACTAATCATACTTCACGTGAACAACTGGGTAGCGTGAAGATCTACATTGGAGGGCGATGGCGTACTTTCAGAATTCCAGGAGTTTCCTTACTGTGTGTACTCTATCAACTAGATTTCACGGATCAGTTAACCTATTCAGTTCACAGTTTTGATTTTAGTGGCATAATATTTTTCAGTTTCAGTTTCACATCACTCGTTTTGAACAGTCGTCCTCCTATCCTGGCGCAATTATTCATGTGAATTCACACCAAAGGGGGCGAAGCACTGGACTCGAGTTTCGCTCTTGTTAGAGCTCATCAGCAGTGCATATCCAATGGCCGCGCCGGGGTTTGAATTCCGGACACCTGACATGCGAGGCGAACGTGTTACCACTATTCGCTCAAGTGAGAACACGTTCACCCGTTCAGACGTGAGAATTCAGATGCGTTCAACGTGCGCCGGTGGAATAGTGGTAACACGTTCGCCTCGCATGTCAGGTATGCGAAGTTCAAACCCCGGCACGGCCGTTGGATGTGCACTGCTGATGAGCTCTAACAAGAACGAGACTAGAGTCCAGTGCTTCCCCCCTTTGGTGTGGATTCACATGAGTAATTGCGTCAGGACAGGAGAACGACTGTTCAAAACGAGAGTGACGTGAAACTGAACAATACACCTCCCGCAAAAACCATCACATGCATGACATTTTGTTAGGAAAACACGTGGTTTAATGGGCTGACACCAAAGCTTTTGCTTACTATGCACACAGAGAAAAGTCAGATTTCGACAAATACTCTCGTTTGATTTTGACGGGAGACTCAACTGAATTCAGCTGAATCCCTTGTTTATGATATCCCTTTTCTCCACTCGAATATGAAGCACCTGGCCGCCTCATGGTATGGTATTCGAGATATCGCAATATGTCGGCATCGCCTCAAGAAGGGCGAAATCGTTCGTCGGCTACCGAAGAGCTGTCAGCAACCGTATGCTACCGTGTGCTACATCCAGTGAAAAGTCAGACTATATTACTTGACAGTTTTGACGGTAGTTTTCTCTTCTTTTTTCTGTTTCATCTTACGAATCTCTAGGGCGTCTTGGTCCTTGACCTTCCTAGTTGTGGAAAGCCTAATCATCTATAGACGAATTTCTCTTGGTACACTGTTCGGTTTGGTGTTAAAACTTAGTAGAGGAATTACAGTACCAAATACCGCAGAAGAGGCATAGCAGTCACTCTTGGCTAACAGGTGCAAACATACTCATCATACCGCTCAACGGGTTATCCAATTTCAGATGACCGTTTTGGGCACTAGAAAACCCACGTAGATGATCCAAGACAGAATAAGCATACTCTGCGCATCAGGAACAGTCCTCATGATGGGAACATTATAAAAAGCACTCACCTCCACAGAAATACTTCTTCCTGGTGGCACTATTCCATGGAGAGGCTGCACTGAGAATGGTACCAAAGAGACATCCCAGCTTTTTACATTTGTTTCCTCACTATCAGGTAATGGGGTTGGCACTTCAGACTCGTTCGATGATGGCATGCTAGTTAGCATCTCCACTAACCATGAGAAATGAAGATCGACCACTCCGACGTTGCTCAATTCAAACCTAGATGAAAGCCCATCGGATTAGTAAGGGGACGAATAAATATTCTTGGGAAAGAAGATACATCAGTGATAACCCGAAAACAACCATTCAAAGCGAGAATGCTTCCTTGAACGTCTTCTATCCAAACCCGTGGGATAGGTTCTATGGTGATGGGCATGACAGGACATGAAGCTTCCTTTGAAAAAAATTCACTTTTTATTATCCGAGCTAATATTACTACAAGATCCTTCTTTCTCTCTAAATAGTTTGACGTAGACAAGTTTTAAAAGCATTGTATGAGCCACGCAGTGGCATGTACACCACTGATCAAAACAGGTATACCCAGCTTAATGTTATAGTAATATCTACGGCAAAGTATGCTGTTTCAATCGCCATAGGTTCTAAGTGAACTGCACGTCAAAGATTAGAAACACAGTAGTAATGGCTGGATTAAACAAAGAGATATGGCAGCCAGTAACATGATGCCAAAATGCTATGCTACATTCTATAAAGACCAACCTAAGATAGATCCTGCATGAATATGTTGCGGACCGATCTATTAGCCCTAGTTTCAGAAAATTTTTCCCAAAACGGGGAGAACGTAGATTTGTTCCGGATTGTTTCAGACAGTTTGGAATCCCGGTACTCACGACGGCTAGGCAGGGAGTGGTCCTCTCGCTGGTTGATTACGTTAAACTTCAGAGGGTATGATAACTGACCAAATTTGAGATATCGAAAACTTCGCTGAGAATTATATCGCAGATGATGTGCTCCTCCCGATCGCGAACTCACAAGCAACTCAAAAATCGATAAGACGGCGGATGACAAAGAACAGCAGACCGCGGGACAGTCATACAATGTCGTATATGTTTGGCAGGCGTTGACTTAAATTGGACGACTTGACCTCGTGTTTATCTCTCATTCCGATAAAATTCCATTTCAAAGATATTACAGCAAGACAAGAACACTTGCAAATGGGGTAGGGGGTAGGTAAAAATGGTCAGAACACCCTCAACCAGGAGCCGCTCCCCTACTAAAATAATAGCACTGTTTTAGCGTCTCACACAGTACACAGAAGACTCTGAAGTAATTGTTGATTTAAGTGTCAGTCTAGCAGGAACTGACATTTGGGAAACAAGCTGATGGATAGTTGAATAAATCACTTCGCCAAGTGGATTGCAAATGACTTGTTGGTGGGACTAAAACAAGGTCCAACTACTAGTGGGCTAACGACGAGCCATAATTGATCTTCACATTCTGTTTATTAAACATATGAAAGAGCGCGGCGGCTGAGTCCCTACACAATTTTGAACTGCACATTTGACTGATTAATATCACATGCGAAAGGTTCATTTGATCTTAAGGTTAACATCTCATTTTTGAATCTTTGTTATGGGGAAATAGAAACAATAATAAATAAAACAAGAGATAGAACGATAAGTATTGTGGCAGACAATTCTGAAAACCTCAACCGCACCAAAACTTTTGACCTGATTGAAACGCACCACTTAGCTTTGAGAGCTAGCATGAATGACGCGTTCGTCAAAAGCCTCGGTTTCTTCACGAGGATCGGTGACTACTCACAACTCGTCAGCTGGTCAAACCCAGCAATGCAAAACCATCGGAGGGCGGCAAATAATCATAGGGCTACTCACGAGTAGTCAGATAGTTGAGTAATTTGACTGGTGAGAGCAAAGGAATATGCCTCCGATAGAGTGAACGACTCTCAGTAGCGCACCGAATGGTAGTTGGCAATGATTAAATGGTCGAAATTCGTTTCAAAATGTTGGAAGAGAATATTGTTTGAATGGGTGTTGGTTAGATTGCCCACAAACTGTTTATCTTTCGCTTTACATTGCAACGAAACCTACCATTTTTACGTGTTTATCAAGAGGGTTTCGTGTCCAATAGAATAACCTTTCAAAACGGCATCTTGTGGAGAGTTTACCCAGAACTAAGATAGATGGAACACTGCTACTAAGTATAGCCCAGCAATGCCTCATTATAGAGGTCCCAAGGTAAAACAGTCAAGCAAGTAAAAAACCGATTGGATCCATGGATCCAGGAGTAACTAAAGAAGTAACGCCTACCTATGAACGCGACGCTGGAACATTAAAGTGTTTTGAAAACTGACAGAGTCAGCGCTACACGAAAAGCGTGCGAAATCGGCTACGGCGGAAACCAGAAGTGTCAATGATTGGGGATCTGGAACCTCCGGGATTTCGGTGAACGGCGGCTCGGGTTCAGTTTCTACAACTTTCCGTTTCCGTCTTGCTACTTCGGTTGTTGTTCCGTATTCAGACACTGGATGCTCTTGTGGCATAGTGCGACTGGCGGACGCACTCGCGGTTATCGCGCCTCCCCTATTCTCTGCATTGTTATGTTTGGGCTTGGGACTAGGGGAAAATCAGAATCAAAATGAAAATATTAGCTAAGGATTACGATAATGAGGGAAAACCGTCAGGGCATATACTCTGTTCATACACTATTTCTCATGGTGAACCGCTTAAATTGACCATAAACGATCAACAAGAATAGATATTTACCAATGGTAATGGCTTTCATACTTCTCTGTCAAGTCACTGCTCGACCTCCCTTGACCCGCTTCCGCTTTTCGCATGTTTAAACAAAAAGAGCTCTTTGAAGAAGTCTCCTAACTCCTGAATTCACACCCCCAATCGTACCTCTTGTAGCTTCCAACGCATGGCTATTCGCTTGTATTCTCCCAGATTGTTGGTGAACGAAACTGCCTGTGCTATAACCACTTCCAAACATCTACGCGGTTTTTACAGCTGAAAATGATGACGATGATTTTTTTTAGTGGTCCCACTGAGCGGATTTTCAGTAAATAGGATCGCTTGAAAGAAAATGCACACAGCATCTGTGACGTCGTTTTCAG